TAGAATCAAAATACGACAAACACAAGACTATCAAGTTACACTTGTAACAATGAATTATTTGTTGAACGAATATGAAAATCTAACCTTAATCTAGAAATTACCGGCGATACAAAATCCGGCCACCTAATTGTTAACCTTAGCCGTGGATGCTGCAAAAAGATTACGTCACTGATCAATTTTCTGCACCTATAGTCAACTGTATATCATCTATTGCAACAAATTATGTGCTACATTAAGATGCGCGTTATTTCGGGATACCCATATGCGTTAATTCGAAATAAGAGTAAATCCAATACAGTCAACCTTCCATAACTGTACATTTTCGGGTAAAAGTGCATTTATAGAATATTCATTTATGGGGCATAATCTACGTATAACGAATAATTTCATCAAATTACGCGTATGTGCGCAAACGAAGTTCACTTATAGAGAGTGCACATCTGGAGTGCCGACTGTATATCATTTATCACAACAAATTATGTGCTACATTGTTAAACGAAGCGTTTGTAAACATGAATCACTTTTTTAATCTATCGATTAATAGATCATCTTTATATTCGCCCACTAAATTAAGGTGAATGACGGGATACGGTTACAACACTTATACGGCGGCACTTCTACTTACTGTATACGGCAAAAATGCCGTATCGCCGTGATATTTTTGCAGGGGTAGCTACCTCCAAAATTCTAAATGTCTGCACCTTTATTCAGAACAGTGTGGGGTGTACGTACACAGCTGTTTTTTCTATTTCACAGACAGTGTGCGGCGTGCCAACTCATACTAGGAATCATTTTTCACCGATTTAAAACATGTGATGGTTATGATCCAAATTTAAACCTCAGTATATGGGACCCCACAGCAAAAGGGGGCAGTGGGGCAAAAAAAAAATTTTTGTCCCACTGCCCCTTTTTGCTATGGGGGTCTCCATATCCAGATTATAATCATCGCATGATTTACCATCCCTAGTATATACCAAATTTTAAATGCGGTCTTGTGATTTTTCCAGCATTGAATAGCATCAATGTCGTAGCTCGTTCGATCGATTCCTAGTCTTGGGTGGGAGGGAAAACCCCAGAAAATAGGTTTTCAGGCACTACTAAAAGCAGCGAAAGAAAAGTAGCATCCTTTACTGGGTTTTATGGCTTACGTATCATTATCAATGACCTCATCATCATGCAAACTCACCGGACCTATGACTTCATATCGACATCACTAAGTCCAGTGTAGGGTGTCTAGGATTATGCGATGCGAAATTATGCGCATAATTGAGGAAAAAAAGGCATAGTTGAGATGTGATTGGTGGAAGTGGTGTTTAACGGGTGAAAATTCCGAAAATTCCCGACGCAAAAAGTCCGGAATATTCTGAATATTAATTCTGGACAGGGACACGGAAAAATTTTCGAAATTTTCGAAATAAATCGATTTTTTGCAGATCTTTAAAATTGACCAATCAGAATGCAAACCAATATCACGTTATATCACGTTACACCTAATTTCATAAAATATAATCGAAATTTATCGGAATATTGGCAAAAATAATCGAAATTTATCAAAAATTTGGCAAAAATAATCAAAATTTTATCGAAATATTTGCGAAAAAATAATCGAAATATTTCCGTGTCCCTGATTCTGGACATCTTACCCAGGAGCGCCAACAAAATTTCACAGTCACGTGATAATAGCAAAATTTTTTTAAAGTTCGTTTAGGTTAGGGTTAGGGTCTATGCTAAGGTTAGGGTTTGAGGAGTTTTAATAGTAAAATCGCACAAGGAAAACTTTTTGTTAGGGCACTAAAGGTGGTTTATCATGTAATTATTTGAGAAACATGCAATTTTTGCAAAGCGAACGTTTGTTTTGAATCTTCCTGATTGTGTTACGTTACACCAAGTCCTGCACCATTATTGGTTGATAATCACGTGATAGTGAAAATTTTGTTAGTGTCCTGGGGTAGTTGATTCTGGACACCCTAGAGTGTCTAGTGATGCATTATGCGCATAATTTGCAATAATTGGCTTATTTTTATGACATGTAAGCAAAATTTGATTGGCTAAAAAGTTAATCGGTTTGTACAGTACATTTAACTGTAATCACTGTAATCACCTGACTTGACATGCTTTTCTGAATTTAATTGGCTAATATAATAACTTAAAATTTCGCATAATTTATAATTTACTTTATCGCATGCATAATTTGGCAATCTTCGCATCATAATCCTAGACACTCAACCCCTGTGCCTTCGTCACAATCGGTCTCATGTACGTACTTAAATCCAATGATGCAATAATTCTGTAATTACTGGCCAAACTGTAATGCTAGTACTTTATAACATCTGATTTACTGAAGCTTTGCATTGTAACTTTCGTAACACAACTCTATTGAATCCGTCATAGCCGCTTTATCAGTACTTTAGTCATTAAAATATGGATACAATTAGCTATACATAGCATAGAACTAATTGCAAACATGTTTGACATTTGATCTATTCAGCAAATTCAGATGTCGGCTGTACATTGTTTTGCACTATAAAAATAATAAACCACCAAAAATAGACAAATAGAGCGAAAATAGCTCAGAGTTTAATGTGTCAAAACGAAAAATACTTCAATAATTTAACAATGCTGAAATACTTTTCAGCAAATGAATTCTACTTAACGCATGTATCAGTATCCATGGGTTAGGAAATTTTCGGCTGAAAAAAAAAATTTTTCCGTGTTCCCTCTGTGTTGGGTATCTCTATCACGTGTGATTAATAATTATGCTTAACTTTATATAGTCGAGTTATTCATAAGGAAATTTTTTTTAGTTTCTTACAGATTTTTTACAAGTTAATTTGGTAATGAATACGACATTACCGAATCGCCGAATTTTTTTGTAACAAAAATGATAAACAAAGAGTCTCTCTTAAAGTGACAATCATATAATAAATAAAATTTTGAAAAAAATTGTTAATGAAAAACACTAGAAGCTAAAAATGAGTAAACGTTCGAGTAAAAATCGAAATAGCAAGATCACGCAAACTGACCACACTCAAAAAGACAATAATGTCGACACTGCTGAATCAACCGCACTTCCTTCTAAATCAAAATCATTCAATGATTCTAAACGCAAACAGAAACATAGTAGCACACCAGAAGAGATAGAAGAAATAATAAATGATACATACTTTTTGAAACTTGAGGAGGAAAGGCCCTTTTTTACAAGAAAGCGCGTTGTATTCACTGCTGGTATCTTATTTGGTATCTTTATTGCCTCATTCCTAGCTCCACAAGGATCCGACTTCCATCTTTTTTCAAGTTATATAGCGGATTCCTTTTCAGACTTGGATATTAGTAGCATTTTACCTGCCAATATTCTGGTGGAAGAATTATTTGGCAATATCACTCTTTTCTTGAAGCCAAATATAAGTCTATTAGAAGATACCGAATTCATGCCGGGCTTGAATTTAGCTCAAGAAGGTGTACAAGCTAATTTTCCCGTATTTTTGATTCCTGGAATTGTTTCAACCGTAAGTATTAAGTATTATGCATTGAATAGTATTATTTTTATTTTATTATTTTTATATATTTTTTTTTATATGATTAGTACAAACTATAGTTTACTTTATAATACTTTCTAAAAAGGGTTTAGAAAGTTGGAGCACCTCTAATTGTTCACGACCGTACTTTAGAAAGAGAATGTGGGGGACTACTAGTAAGATTATGTGCCCAACAAAGTAAATTGTTACAAAAAAATTCGACGTTACATTATTAATTAAGTGGTTTATCATCAATATACGTACGTGCATCCTTTTCCTTTTGACTTAAGCAATGTTTCGCGCGGTTCTTTTGGACAAAGAATGCTGGGAAAGTAATATGAAACTTGATGCTGTCACTGGTTTGGATCCACCAGACATAAAATTGCGGGCTGCACAAGGTTAGTGTGCATAATACTGAGTTTTTCTATTTACTGTATTCTTTTTTTTTTTAAAAAAAAAAAAAGTTTTTTTATGGCCTATTAATTTTTTATTTTTCGCACATAGGATTAGATGCTGCCGATTATCTTTTTCCAGGGTAGGTTTATTAAAAGATTAATGATTATTATGTCTATTAAAATTATCCATCATTATAAATAACTAATAAATTCCATATTACGTCGCAAATATTTCAACAGTTACTGGGTTTGGGGTAAGTGTCATATGTTGATTAAATGTTATATGGACATAAATAATTTTTTCCTTTTTTTTTCTCTAGGTAAAATGATACAGAATTTTGCGGCAATCGGTTATGATTCTAATAACATGCATCTTGCAGCTTACGATTGGAGGCTTTCATACATTAATCTTGAAACAAGAGATAAATATTTTTCGAAGCTAAAATCTAATATTGAATTAATAAAATTAACCGACAATAAAAAGTCCGTGCTCGTTAGTCATTCGATGGGTTTGTTATTTTAATTTTTTTTTTTTTCTGTCGTTAAATAAATTTTATTCAATATTCTTATAATAATTTTATTTCAGGCGCTCTGGTCATTTTATATTTCTTTAAGTGGGTAGAATCTCCATCAGGTGGCAATGGTGGGACGTCTTGGGTTAACAACCATATTGAAGCATTTGTTAATATTGGAGGCCCTTTATTTGGTGTGCCAAAAACTATATCTGCTTTACTTTCAGGTACTGTTTCTTTAGATATTCAAAATAAATCTTTATACATGACCCATACATGAAGACTAATTTATTTATTATTATGGATGCAGGTGAAATGAGAGATACAGTCGAATTAGGTGCTTTTGGCATTTATGTACTTGAGCGCTTTTTCTCTAGACGTGAGCGAGCTGAGCTCTTCCGCAGTTGGGGTGGACTTTCCTCTATGCTGCCAAAGGGTGGTGAGGCTATATGGGGCAATGCGACTCACGCTCCTGATGATATTGAAGGATTGGATTGTTCTTATGGCTCCATGTTAACCTTACGTTCCTTGATTCGTAAAAAGGTTAATAATAATAATAATAGTATTAATGATAAGAATGATAGCGACAATACTCAAGATGAAATCATTCATAAGCACACATGTAATACTGGCATAGATTTCTTGCAACAACATACGGGCTCATTATATAATAAAATGCTATCTAATAATTTTAGTTATGGAATTATTACATCTGAAGATGAAATTCTTAATAAAACAAACGATCATACTAAATGGACTAATCCACTTGAATCACAATTACCTTACGCTCCGAATATGAAAATATATTGTTTATATGGTTGGGGAAAGGAAACTGAAAGAGCATATCATTATATGCATGATCATTTAGATTCGAACGAGAATTCTGACGAAGATGTCGATCTTCCTTACAAGTTTTCAAAAAATATTTTCATTGATAGTGCGGTTAATTCTGATCAAGATCTATATCTAAAAAGCGGTGTGCATAATGGAGAAGGGTATTATTCTTAGATTCATTATTATTATTATTATTTTGAATCAAAGTTCTGATCAAAGTTATTAATTATATTATAATAGAGATGGTACTGTGCCACTATTATCACTAGGATATATGTGCGTTAAAGGATGGAAAAATCCACTATATAATCCTGCTGGAATTAAAGTAATTACTCGTGAATTTGAACATGAAAGGGGTCCGGGTTTAAATATTCGCGGTGGTGCAAAAACAGCTGATCATGTAGATATATTGGGAAATTACGCTCTTACTGTGAGTATTTTACAACTATTTTTTTTTTAAGTTATTTGTTCATATAATATCCACTTAAAACGTTACTAAAATCCTTTATTAATTATAAAGGAGGACATTTTACGAGTTGCAGCTGGTGATGGTGAAAAACTTGAAGATAGGATCACTTCTAATATTTTAGAATACGCATCCAAAATTGACGTCTAGTAAATTATAACTGTTTATACTATTATAGACATTTGCAATTTCATATAATTATTTAGGAATTTATAGACATTTCAATAGCATTATAAATTATCGTAATAATATGTTAAAAAAAAAAATTATTTAACAATATGCAGGTAACATATAGTCTTGTGTGGTTAATGACCAATTCTAATAATTTACCATCTAATCCTCGTTATAATCTCTTGATATGATTCAAATTCGAAACGTAATAAAATAGATTTTGCAAAGTTTTCGATTAACCATAGTTATGAAAAATGTGTTTTGTCATGTGCTGTAGAATTTCTGACCAACCAAATAGTGCTTAATTAATGAATACATATATATGGGGGTGGTCAGTAGAAACCAAGCAAATTGGTTCTAAGTAAATTTTTTTAAAACTTTAAAATATCTCAACAACTATTAAACCAAACTTAATAAAAATTTTTTTATTTTAATTCTATGTAGTGTTGTTGACTGGAAGCTGGATCTAGAAATCCCACTGGAACCATATATTATTGACCAATAAAAATGCAATAAAATATTATCTAATAAAAATGCGGGTTATAATTGATAATTAGTTTAAGAATTTAAATAGTTCATGATACTCACTATTCTTTTTAGTAATTTATTAAGAATAAAAAAATTAATTAGAGTATTTAAATTAAGCTATTGAATTTCATGGACTTCTAATATTTTGTCATTTTAAATGTCTATTATGTAATCTAATCTATTTTGGATAACCTAATTTACTATCGTTGTTGAGTATTTACAATAATCTATTCAAGCTCATCTGATTTATACTTCATTTAATTTATTAAATATACTATTCAAGTCTGAATATTACTCATTATTCATGCTATTTTAAATTTTTTTATTCACGTTAAGTTAGTCTGTGAGCATAAAGAATATTTATTGATCTAACTATTCAAGTTCATTAATTTTATTTTATTCTCGTATATTTAGAAAATAGGCATGAATAAAAGAGGTCCTTATTATAGTATGCTCATATTGTAATGGCATAAATAAAACGTGATGGGAATGAAAAATGTCAGGATAACAAAGTGCCGAAGAAGTATTTTTGGAGAAATGATTGAAAGTTTAATAAGATTCTAAGAAATTAAAGCAAGAGTTCTGCTAACGCTTATTATTCTTGATCAAAATTGAAAGAGTTAAAGTGATGCTTTTGCGAAATGTCTCAATTATTGTATTTATTACTCTAATTAATGTTAATTAAGATTGAAGAACCGTGGTGCAACTTATATTATGATGAATGAATGAAAAATCACTTATATTTAAATCCGTTAATGATTCTTTACAAATACCTTCTGATGGTACAATAAATCATTCCACTTTGTTTTAGCGCGAGTAAACTGACCGGCACAATTCTTAGTGATCCATTCAAGTCTTCAATTGCTTTCTCATATTTGCTCATCATGCGATACACCATACCGCGGTGCAATAATACAAATGCTTCTTTTGGTTCTTTTTCAAGAGATTTATTAAATCTGTAAGCGATTCATGGCACATTCCTAGCATATGATATGTTGCTCCACGGTATTTTAATGCAAATGCATCATTTTGTCCTGTGTCGAGAAATTTATCTAAATATATGAGTGATTTTTCATATTCATTCATCATGAAATAAGTTGCTCCACGAATTTTTAATGCAATTGATTAATTGGTTCTATTTCGAGTGATTTATTTAAGCCTGTAAGCATTTTATCAAGGTATGGTAGATAGCTCTACGTTGTCTTAATGCAAATGCATTGTTTTCTATTTTCTAGCGATCTACTTAAATCTGTGATTTATTATATTTTTTCATGGCAATAAACTAATATCATACATTATTTTGGATCAAATTCTAGTAATTTTGCTGAAATATTTAAGCGAATCCTTGTATCTTCCATCATGCAATAACATTCCCCACGATATTTAACGCTATTACATTATTCGACTCAAGTTCTAGAGATTTATTTAAATCTATGTATTTAGAACTTGAAACAAATGATAAAATGATACTAATAATTCGCGGATTAATTTACTCAGTACTGTATTTGTAAACAATGGAGTTAAATGGTTACATGAATGAACTCAAAAAACTAGTATCCATTGGCTCCATTGGCTCCATTGGCTCCATTGGCTCCATTCGCAGCTCCATTGAGCTCCATTAGTGATGGGCAAACCATGCGTCACACGCGGATCATAATTTTGTGTCTGATAAAAAAACCATGCAGAAATTATTATTGAAATAGCGGCATGGACGTTATTTCGAATTTTGAAATATCGCCCATGCCCGCTATTTCGAGAATTTATGGTAAATATGTTATGTAGGCCAGATATGCCAACCAGATGATATGGTAATGCCGGCCAGATAATTTTATATTAAAAATCCCGCGCGTGCCCATCTCTAAGCTTCATTGCCAACCCTGACTGGTGGGTATTAAGATTATTGCTTAATATAATAATAATCAAAGCGAATAAAACTTGTAGTAATATTTCAGCATTTAGAACTTAATATGTTGATTATTATACCAATTTTTTTTTTTTAATAAATTACAGAATAAAGATATGTTTACTATTTATAGTATTGTTCCGAGTTGATTAAAATTTTTCCAATCGATTAGTTGTCAATTAGTTGCAACTAATAGTCACATGTTTTCAATAAAATTTAATAAATAATCACGTGTTTTCTGTATCATTTTAAACTAGTGCTTCGATCCGCAATCCGACTGATTCAGATTAAATGCGGATATCCTTATCCGTCATTCTTAAACGGATAGATCCGTAATATATTTCGGATTGAGGAGGTTATTCGGATCATGATCTTAGGACGTCTCCGCGAACGAATTTGAAGATGACCGCTATCACTTGTATATCTTTTTTACTAGATTAACACATGATATACCTGTCATGATTCTGATTGGTCGATGCTGATGGATGAACGACTATACCATAGCCACTCTACCGGTAATTTTTATGGTTTTTTTTTAAATGTTTTTTTTTAAAAAAAAAATAATAAGACAAAAAATAGAACTAAGGTGAAGGAGGAGTTAAAATTTATCAAAACTTGCTTATAATAAAACTTCAATAAAATATTGCTAATTACAATTTTTATTTAAAAATAACATATCTCTATCTATTTGATTCTAATATATAAAAAAAAAAATCAAGTTGACTTGTGTTTGTACAATTTTTTTTAGTGCGAAGTAGCTTCAACGGTCAGGAGGGTAAAGTGGTGGGATCGACATAAATTAATCAGCCGTAGTATTAGTTGCTTCTTGTTAAAGGGTATTTGTGTGATTATTTTGCAATTCATTGATCAGAATCGAATGTTTTATGCACCATTCGATTCGAATTGGTAAGACGAATCGAATGGTATAAAAATCATTAATTTCCAATTGATAAATCGTGTGTAAACTTTAATATAAGTTGACCTACCCTTCACCGCGTCTGTCTGTGGTGCAGTTCTTTTATACAGTATTTGTTCTGCATCATGTTCGAGAGGATTCTAATTTATGCATCAGATTGAAATGCATATCGTGAATATAATAACGAAGACAAACCAGACAAACAATAAACCATTATATTGTTTGTATTCTTTACAGTTCTCACACGAAGAGTCTATCACCAAAAGAAAAATGATTTGAAAATTAGTTGGACACGTGATGAATTGTGATGATCGTCGCAAATTTCGGTAATTATAACTATCGAAATTACAGGCAATTTTCGTAACAAAGAATATTTTCATAACAAAGAATAGAATATTCGATAATATAATCTCGGTCGGTACATTGCCTCAGTATAATCTTTTACCGACCGGAAATTATAGATCATCATAAAATTCATCACGTGTTACACTAATTTTCAAATTAGTTGTAATAAATATTGTACTATGCTGCATCAGCGCATGTTTCTATTTTCATCATTGAGTTAAAGATTAATATAAAGATTATTTTAAGTACCAAATTGGATAATTAATATTGCACATATGAATTATGTGAATTGGATATATTATTAAAAGATTAATGTACATATTAGTGATGGGCATATTGAAAGATTCTTTATATAGTACAAATATCCATGATCAAAATATTAAATTCTAACTTTAAAGAGCTGTTAGAATGATTTTATAATATGAATTTTCTCATCCTAACACTAACCAGTTAGAATGATTTTATAATACAAACTTTCTTAACACTAAACATTAAGAGCTGTTAGAATGATTTTTATAATACAAACAAGAGTTCAATCTGGATAAATCCGTTATCCGTATCTAATTATCTGGATAATTCAAGTCGCTCAGATATCCAATAATTATCTGGATATCCGCTTAAATTCAGATCCGGATATCCGATAGATAACGGATAATGGATAGGAACACTAAGGGAACTAACACTTATTACGTAAATATAGCCTCTCCCATTTGACAATTGCAAATTCTAATGTAATCAATTTTATCAATTACGTCTTTTTGATTACATTTAGAACTTGTAATTGCTAAATTGTGGAGGCTATATTTACGTAATAAGTGTTAGTTCCCTATACGAACTTTCTCTAATACTAACCATTAGAGTTCTAGCTGATAAATTAGTGAGACACGTGATGAATTTTGTGATGATCGTCGGTCAGTAATAAATGTGACAGATTAAAATGAAATCAGATTAAAATGAAATTTTAATATTTTTTAGGGATGATTTAAAAAATTTTGAGTGACATTTTTTAGGGTTAGGATTAGGGTTAGAGTTAGGGTTTAGTGTTAGGTTTATTAAAAAAAAGTATAAGTGGGTTTTATAAGCTTTAAAGAGGAGCGAGAGAGGTCCCTCATTTCATTTTAATCTGCGACAATAAATGTAGAGATGTTAACGGAGTACTCCAGGGCGGTGTGGTGCATACTCTGGCAGAGTATTCCTTAACACCGTACCACACTGGAGTAGTATACTTCGGAGTGTAACCCAGAGTATAATCTGGAGTATAGCCCGGAGTACTGAAGTACTGTTATA